CTGATTATATGGACTTAATAAAATTGCAATAAATCAATATCCCTAATTACAATCTACTAATCATAAGAAAGAGAGATTAAAAAGAATTTTCCAATTATATCTCAACAAGATCCTCCCAGCCGCAAGAACAAGCAAAAGTATGTAGAGCCCACATTATTTAGCACTTGTCTCCTAGCTGTTTGGCAAACATAGCTATGACTCACAGACCGCCCCAACCTCCATTTTTATTGAAACCAGTGATATCACCAAGACTAGCAAGTCTTTTCTCGACCGAAAGGCCCACTCAAACCACCACCATGCACGCTAGAAATCAACTTCTCTCAAAGACGTACATGCAATACACAATTGAACCCCCTTAAAGAGAACCCCATCATGCTTGTGAAAATCCTCGAAACGAAGTTTTCTCCATATGTTAACAATGTCTTCATCAGTAGCATATAAATAATGAAGAACCTCAAAACCTTTAACCTCATGACTCATTGTAACCAACAAAGTAGCACGCCGACTCAAAGCATCTCCAAGTTTATTCTGATTACACGACTTACGGTTCAACGTGAAAGGAAATTGTTAGAAGTAAAGCAACCCACCGCATGCATTTGGCTAATCTTCTTCAAGTTATTGATGCACTACAAGACCTGATGATCAGTATACAAGACGAACTGATCTTGAATAAGATAATGCATTCAGTGCTTCAAAGCTCGAATAACAGCATAAAGCTCTAGGTGTACATCGACCACTTCATTCGAGTATCACTTAACTACTCACTGAAATACTCAAAAATAAGCCACTGGATAGGGAAAGGATTGCACCAATCCCAACTCCATATACATCAAATTCAACCGCAAATTATTTTTTGAAACCAGGAAATGCGAGCACGGGAGCCGTGCATAGCTTCTATTGAACAGCTCAAAGCTCCTCGTCTGCTCCAAACTCCACTAAAACTTCTCCTTCACCAAAGGGTCTGTCGATGGAGCTACAAACATGTTGAAACTACAAATAAAAAGTAAACGTAAAACCAAATCACATGATTGATATTTCTTATCAGTGGATGTTGGCACCTGTCATTATCGAATCGCCTTAAGACAAATCCCAAAAAGAGAAGGCTTGTCTGTAAGAAGTTGCACTTCTTGAGATTGATAAAAGTTTATTAACATACGACACACCAACAACTGCAGCAAATGCTCCATGTGCTAAACCTCATCAACGTTATAGAACCAAATATCATTACAGTAAACCGCAACGAATTCACCGGAAGCACCTCATTTATCAAGCGCACCGAACATCCTACCAATATATCCTCCAACCATGGAATTAGAAACTGATAAAAGTACAATAACCTTATTTATAGTCTCACTATCTGCACACATAGACCCATCTTACTTTGGAATTAGTAAAACCAAAACTGGACAAGGGCTCCTACTCTCCAAGATTAAACCCTTAACCAACAACCCTTCCACCATTTGTTGCAATACCTCACTCTCCTTATGACACATTCGATAATGGGGAAAATTTGATAAGGTTGCTCCCAGAACCAAATCACACGAGTGATATTTCTCATCGGTGGAAGCTCAAAGAAGCTATTTAGGTACTAACTAAAATTTGTCACAATCTCCGCACGGAACTTGGAATCTCCCCACATGATTCACCACCCCAATCAGCAGCTCGAGCATGTGCATCAACTTCGACTCAGACCAATTAATGTTTCAAGATATCTTCTACCTCTGCGGTTTAATTTTGTATTTAAACCTCAATGACAACATAATCTTCCTCCCATATTTCGTAAATTGGTAGACATTTTTTCTGGCCATAAAGGCCCAAAATCCTAAATGAAATAGCAAATTTTAAAAATAATAAAAGGGTCAAAGCCGGAAGAGGAAATTGGGACATTTTTTCGGCCAAATTGTTTTGCTTCTGAAAACATTATAATATCAACTCCTAGCCCAAACGCAAAACTCACGTCTGTTTTGATATCTGCCAACGAACACCCATCAAATCTTCGTCAACAGCCCAAAACTAGTCCTTTACATGTTCCTCATCAAAATATTATTCTAGATTTTGGTGGAAGGATAACATGCAAGAAGCAACATCATGCATTCAAGAAATGCATAACCAAATGTAAAATCCAAAAAAAGGGGGCCCCTTGGGGTGATGATGATCCACATCTCCACCTGTTGCCAAGTCATTGAGATGTCTGCAGATCGTCTAAAACTAGCCCTTTGGAGCATAAAACCAATCATCAACCTAGAGGAAGGTGATTTTAACGTTTCGAAATGAATACTTTCAGAAGTAAGAAATAACGATCAACACACATTTCACATAGTTACAAAAAGTTGCGCTTGAGGTTTTAAAATTACAGATACTTCATGGAAGTGTTACAAACACCCTCACGAGCATGTCTTTACCTAATAAATACTCCTATTCAATTTTTTAAAAGGATATGAACGTCAAGGGAATGACTATAATTTTGGAAGACAATTGGGTTTCCACAAACAGGCAAAGCTTGAGGTGAAACATCAACAATAAACATAAAGAGAATGACGCACACTGAGAAAGAAATCCACAACAACAACAACAACAACATACCCAGTATATTCCCAACTGGTCTGAGAAAGAAATCCACAATTAAATAAATCTTGAGTAAAGCATGGACTAGGGAGATGAGGTTTTAATGGCTTTATGTCGGTCAAAGACTAAACAGATAAGATCAATCAAACACTTTGACAGATCCCATCCTTGGTTTCCTGTTCGATTAAATGGAAATGGTAAATGATAACTAGGAAGCATAACTTTCACAAGTTCAGCTCAACCTTTTAACATTACTTCATCTTAGATGTAAGAAGGTGCAGCACCAAAATTTTAAAAGTCTAGCGACAAAAACAGCATTGTTCCCATGAACCAAATAAAAGCATACCAATCATATTCAATAAGGAGACCACTTTCAAGATGCACTACTCCAGCGGAATGAGTTAACGCATCCCCATCCATACCATATTGATCAAAGGGAAGTAAATATTGCACGCTGTCCTTCAAAAACTGCACACCAGTGCTTGACAGCAAGTCTGAGAAACGAGGGGCTATCTCCCATTCATCTACTTCTACATTTAGAAAGTTAAACACACAGATTATTAAATGGAAGAAGGATAGGCTAGCTAGAGAAAGCAGAGCACCCTCACCCAATCAAGTCGATTATACCTCCACATAAGAGTTCATACAGTAGCGGCTTGAAAACAAAATGCTCAGATCGATCAACAAGAACCACCTGATACATTAAAAGTAGAAAGTAAAAGCTTTCAATAACAAAGCAATAGTTCTCCAATGTAAAAATATAAGACAAAAAACAAAAAAATAAAAAAATAAAAAAAAAATATAAAAAAATAAAAACTCAATACAATCAAGTTGAATAGAAACGTATACAAAATCACTAATACCAACTCAAGACCATTCATTTGGCCACGTAGTTTTTCAAATTCATACACCCTATTGTTGAACCCTCAACTGGCATATGCATGAAGTTACAGTTGTCCAGAAATATATGTACCAAACAAAATATTTCTTTCCAATCCCATGAACAAAGTTCATCTCACCATTCAACCTCAATTGTGAGTCCACAATTTGTTCCACATGAATCTTTATGCTAATAGTACACCTTAATGTGTTATTAAAGTAACAATGACCATCAAAGAAACCAGATTAATCGCTTCTAATACCTTGCACAAATTGTTCTTGTTCATGTAGTTTTTAACATGAAACTTCTTGATCTTAATTGCATTTAATCAAAAAGTGGAAGTACATTGCAAGAGACGGCTTCAAATTGCGTGTATGATCGCTCATTGAAATAAGCATGGAACAAGCTTCTATAACTTGGACCTTAAATTTAGTTTAACACAAATTTGAGGGTTTGTTGAAATGGAACACCGTTAAGTCAAAACAGACTTGCATAAATAATATTAGGCAGAATACGTTAAGACTATACATTCCATATGGAAGTAATTATATTGGTGACCCATGAACATATTGGATAAATAATATATTGTATAATATATAATATATTATCCTAAACTTTAAAAATATGGTCCGTCAATATCCCAAAACAAGGGAAGACAACAATATGTGCAGGCATATCCTAAAACAAGCCTAGATTTTACAGACGGAATTCATATGAGAAATTAGCAAGATTTCCTTCATTTGTAAAATAAAATTAGATGAGCCAATAAAATTAGATGAGCCTGCTTCTCGTTCCTCCTTTCCCTAAGTAAACAAAACGCCAAGCGCATTGATTTTAGAATACCAAGTTCAACCAGCAACCAGAGATCATGTTGTGGCTCTTCATATACTCTCATCAATATGTTGACCATGATTGGGAAGACTATAAACACGTATTCCCACTACAGGAACATGCTTGATTCTAACTGCCCACAGTCAGATGTTGAACAAGAAGGATCCGAATTATTAAGCAGCAATAAAACAATCTACGTGCAAAATGGTTAAAGCCAGAGCCTATAACATACGGTAAAAATGATCTTAAACCAACAATTACCTGTGGTTTTTTTCCATCTGGCCAATCAAGTGATTCCAATCTCAATGCAGTGTACAGCCCTCCGAAACCACCACCTAGTATGCACACTCTTGGTCTCTGTAATTATAGATTGAATTTATGCCAGGGTACTGAAGGTATTATGCACCCCCTTAAATTGGTAAATATCTATCAACCACATAAGCCATAGATAACACATGGATTAAGTGTAAACTATTCTAAAATTATCCCGCACAAGTTAAAGATGTGAAGAAATACTAATTCACACAGCAAGTATAAATGTAAATTAGTATGTTATATTAATTGGCAGAGATATCACCTCACAAAGCACAATAAACATGTCCACTCGGAAGCAAGATGAATCATGGCTTTCATATTGTTAAATCTGCATGTGTATAATACAGGAACTAAAACCAAACCTTTGCAACTATAACCAAATTTGAAGACAATGAACACTTATATGAAAATAACATATGTTTGATGTATCAAGGAATATCCATAAAAACAAAAATTCCGCAATATTCAGACTCTTGAAACCGCTTTAGTTTAGCATCCTTAGGTTGAGCAACGAAATAAAATTCACGCAATAAAATGGTAACGTGACAGCCATAGCGACTGCTATACACTGATCAAATGGATAATGGACGAATTTTTCTACTATCGAATGTGCATAAAAAGTTATTACTGTGAATGCACAAATTGAATCTCATGAAATTAAGGGATCATTATTACAATTGGATGAAAAGATTCTCATATATGCATATAGTTGGCTGGGATAGCTTCAATTAAGTAAAGCAATCAAGAAATGGTGAATACGTTCTATTTATCAATTCCCAACATATTACACCCCAGCCCTGCAACTGACTCCAGACTAAGGACAAAACCCAATGCAGGAAAAAGCAAAAAGGAAAAACAACTTTCAATATACCTTCCTGTTATCAGGCCAAACGTAACTGGAAGGATGAAATTCTGCTTCAGAAATGGCAGAAACGACGCCAAAACCTCCACCGGAGCTCGAACCAAGAACACGGAGTGGAGGACTTTTGGCGGAGGTTGAGAAGAACATCGAGTAGGTCCATAACCTACGCGAGTGCAACCCGAATGAATTCACCGGCCGGAACCGCTCACCTGAAAATCGATATTGTCTCAAGCAAATGAAACGAAAATATAAGGCCAAAATAACACAAGGATATTGGGTGATCGTAGCGGATAATGGTGGAAAAGAAAAGCACGAGCGTACTCTGGAGTAATGTTAGTGATGGTATAGAAGACACAGCGAGCGCCATCTATGGTGGAGTGTGTAGTGTGGAACTGCCGGCGGGAAGTGGGGGTATACTACGCTGTCGTGGCTCCACAAGAGAGAAAGAGAGAGAGAGAGAGAGAGAGAGAGAGAGAGAGAGCAGGTGAGCGGTAATAATTTATGTGGCTGAGAAAATGTGTAGTGAGGAATGCGCAATACAGAAATAATAGAAAAATTGTGAAAATGATATTTTTTTCATAATGGTGTTGACACCACCTCCTATTACTAGTACTCTTCTTCGACAATTTTTTTTTTTAAAACGATAGATACTTTCATTCCATAATAAGCATGTACAATAGCCGAGAGTCTAAATAGACCCTGCTAGTTCAGAAATACAATATAGAATGAGGCCATCAACAAGATGCCTAGACTCACAATTGCAACACAAATAGGTAAAAGATAGAGGCAAAGATCTATGAATCCTCCATCCACCAACAATACTAATAAATCCAGAACAACAATGAAAATACAATACATAGCCCAGACAGAACAAAATCAAATAGATGGAGGTGTGAACCACTGAACCAAATGACCTAGCAACACATCCTCTATCTTCAGTCAACCCTTAGCCAGTTTGCCATGGACATATTCCTGCCAATCAGACAAAGCAGAAGAGATAATAACATGTTCTGGCATCCATACCTGCTGGAATTTCCAAAGATTTCTGAATTTCCATAACCACCATAACATATAGGTGGTTAATTCAATCATGTCTTCAGAAACAACCTTCTTGTCCACAGCACACATTCCACCACCATTGTTTGAACTTATCAGATACATCCACTGAATTCCAACTGACAGGAGCAAGTTTCCAGACTTCTTGTGCTCTATTGCAATGTAGAAAAACATGTTCAAGTGATTCTAGAGCCTCACCAAGACTGGAGCAGTAAGGATCAATGTCAAGTCCCCTCAGTTTCAAACTAAGCCCCACAGACAGAGAATGGTTGTAACACTTCCAAACAAAATGCTTAAGCTTGAGTTTAATCTTTAAGCCCCAGCTTCTGCACCTAACTTTCTTTTCGAGAAGGATTGTTGAACTGATCTCAGCAATGTACAGGCAGTTAATCTTATCAGAGACTAGCTTAGAATAAAAGCTATCAACATAAAAAGAACCTTTCTTGTTTAACATCTACTTCCATTTATCAGCCAAGTTGGGGTCAAGAGATGAAATCTCCAGAATTGCCTCTGCATCTTCCGTAGAAAAACAATAAAAGATAAGATCTTTGTTCCAACTCCTCCCATCAGCTAGAATAAGTGTAGCGCCCCGTTCGTTTATTAGAATTTTCCAAATTTTATATGATTATTTATTAGCTTATCGATTATTTGCCCTTGCTTTTTATTTGCTCGTTTATTTATTATCAACTGCTCGTCTCTACCTTGTTTTATTTATCTGCTATATTATTAAATTGCTATGTGATTAATTCATTTGATTGCTATGAGGTTATTTGATTTATGTGTGTAATCAGTTAGAATTATTTTTAGTTGCTAGTTTTATCGTTCGGCGATTTTCGATTATTTCGCGTAGATTAATTTCGAGCTATTGACAAAGGAAGGAGGCAGGCTGATGCCTACGGTACGGGGTATTTAAGTAAATTAATACCTTGTAGGGTTATAGTATAAATACATGGTGTATTGATGTATTTGAGACTATTTTTGAGAATAATAAAGATCCCTCAGTCGCCGTGGACGTAGGCATATTGTCAAACCACGTAATCTTGTGTTGTTTACTTTTCTCGTTTTTAATTCGTATGCCATATTGTCATCTTCACTCAACAAGTGGTATCAGAGCCTGGTTGATTGGGCGACGGAGATGACGGGAGGATCGAAATTTGAGGTCTCGAAATTTGATGGTCATGGCAATTTCGGATTATGGCAGACGAGAGTAAAAGATTTATTAGCGCAGCAAGGGATTCAGAAAGGGCTGCGCGCAGAAAAGCCAAAGGGGATGGAAGACGATGATTGGCAAGATCTGCAGGAACGGCCGGCCGGGACGATTCGGTTGTGCCTTGCAGATGAAGTTATGTATCACATTATGCATCTCAAATCGGTGGATGAGATTTGGAAGAAACTGGAATCGCAGTTTATGTCGAAAACCCTAACGACAAAACTGTATCTGAAGCAGAGGTTATACGGGCTGAAGATGCAGGAGGGTACCGATTTAGGGCAACATGTGAATATCTTCAATCAGGTTGTCACGGATTTGGCTTCACTCGAAGTCAAGATTGATGATGAAGACAAGGCGATGATTTTACTGTGTTCGTTACCTCCTTCTTAAGAACATATGGTGACTACCTTTACATATGGGAAAGAAACGATCAAGACTGAGGAGATTACTTGTAACAGCCCGCTAGCTTACTAAAATCAGAGTGCGATTTTCGCAAATCCTTTTCTAAAGTTTACGTTTTATTTTGTGAAACATATATCGGGATGCTACATAAAATATTTCTTTTCTAAAAATCCGTTAACTATAAACTTATTTATGAAAAATGGATTATCATTATAAAACAAGCGTGTGATACTGTATAAAACTAGACTCGAAAGCTCAGATCGTCATCTGAAAATTTACACGCTAGTTTGAAAGTCTGAAAACGACAGCAAAAGTAAAACGTGGCAAATATATACATATCAACAGTCTGCAAAAATATATGCATATTTACATGTACTGGACCGGCGACCACCAGCTCCACTCACTCCTTCGGACCGACCCTGTCTCCTGAAAAGAATCATAATAGTGGGAGCGTGAGTACTAAAAACACTGTACTCCGCAGAAACTCATACTAAAGTAAACATCAATAATAATATCAATATCATGACTGCAGTATATATATATAAACTGTAATCTCCAGACGCAAGGTCTGTACTGAACTGGCCATGTGCACACTCTGATGGGCAATTAAGGCTACTGCGCTGTTGTAAATATTTTTAACCGGAGTAGAATCGAAAGATTCAACACCGGGTCGTACTCAAGGAAGGTTAGCCGGAATAAACTGCACGACTATTCAAACACACAAAAAGAAAGGAACAAAATCTAACACTCTAACTCAAATCGTTGGTTTTTTAATTATCAACTACAAGTTCTCAAATAAATAAATGAAAACAAACGAACTATCAAATCCAAACGAGATTGAAATAAGGTTGGGGAAGTTGAGGAATCGGAGATACTCGCATATGGTTCTCAATAACTATTTATTGCTTATCCACTCGGTTAAGAGATTTAATAACTTACTTGCTTAGAAATTTGTTCTCAATAACTGTTCGTAACAAGGAAACAAACACAAGCAATTCATTATCTGAACAATCAACACATAGGCAATACATTGACGAACAAGCCTATTCTAAACGAGCCACGTTCAACCAATTTCTCCTCTTTCGGTTCTACAAATTGATTAATTAGATTAGAATGGTGATCAAGCATCTAACCCTAGATTAAGGACAACTCGAATAGATTGAATGGTAAGCAAACATACATGAATCACGAACGAACCAATACGAATATCTCCTATCCCCAACAAAAGATTTAGCTACTCATAGTAATTTGAACATAAGAACTCACAACAATCCAACCACAAAACACCATAATTAAACGAGAAAAGATGCTTACGATTGTTAAGAAGACCAATGTCGAAAACAAGAGCAATCCAAATCCAAAGCTAGAAAAAGAGTTTTAATGCTCCAAAATCCAATCCAAAACTAAAGCCAAAGGAAAAGTGTGTTTTTCTCCAGAAAAGAGTTTAGAAAATACAGAGTACGGAATGAATCCTAACCCTATCGCCCCCGCATAAAATAGTCCGATTTAGCTTTAATTAACGCACCGCGCCGCGAAGATCGGCGCGACGAGGTACTGCTTCGCGGCGCGGCAGGGGTGGCACGGCGCGACGGAGGACGGCTCCGCGGCGCGATGGGGCAACACGG